CAGTCTTGCCCACCAAAGCCTTTGAAGGCAGTGAGACTCAAACATGGGACATTTGTGATGATTGAATAACAAAGGACAATTCCATGCAATATAACATAAAACAAAATGAGAAAAACTGAACAAGAACAGGTTTTTGTTTTTAAATTTTTAAGGTTTATTTATTTTTGAGAGAGAGAGAGAGAGCACGAGCAGGGAAGGGGCAGAGAGAGAGAGGGAGATACAGAATTGGAAGCAGGCTCCAGGCTCTGAGCTGTCAGCACAGAACCCGATGCGGGGCTCGAACTCACGTACCGTGAGATCACGACCTGAGCTGAAGTCGGACGCTTAACTGGCTGAGCCACCCTGGTGCCCCATGAACAAACAGGTTTTATCATGAATGCTGGTGTTGGGGGAACAGCAGATTTAACCAAAGGAAAGGAGGCACATGGCAGAGATTCAGAAGGCCGTATCTATACCTTCCAAGGACATTGCCAGCTCTGGACTTATATTCTATTGTCGAATGCCAAAACTTAAGACTTTCTTATAGGGTTCCATTTGTCTGTAGTGTGCTCTTAGTTTATCTGCTTACCTACGGCTTCTTGTGCGAGGAAAGAAAACACAGAAACAGGTAGGCACGCAGGCATTTGCTTAACTCACTTCCAGTGTCTCTCAGTTTCTTGGACAGCAGGCAGTGCTTTTGTTGGGTTCCCAGACCCTTTACCATCTCATCCTGAACCCCCTGCAGTAGCTCAAAAATTCAGTGCTCCCTCCGTCCCACCTCCAGGACTCTGCCTATTCTCTTCACATATCCTCCATACCCTTTGCTGGCAAACAGCCTTTTGTCCTTCAGGACTCAACTCTGGTGTGACCTCTTCCAGGAAGCCTTCTTTGATTTCTCCAGCACCAGGCTGTGTGCTCCCTCAGCACAATGCCCTTTCCATGGATTCAGGTAACTCAGCAGTGAGGCTGCTGTCAGGGATAGTAAGGTAGGGAATGGGCAGTTTCTGGATGCCCAGGAAGGGGAGAGACAGTGTACATTCAAGCCTATTTTGCAAGTATCTAAAGCAAGAAGGTGCCTCTTCTCTGTTCCAGGCTGTTTCCAGAGAGCCATATCTGATCTGTTTACCAGAGTGAATTTACACATGGACTCGAGTCAGACGCCCTAGGTCCAAATCCTGGCTCTGCCACTAGCCGGTTGCATGGTCTTGGCTTTAACCTCTCCCTTATCTATAAAATGGGTACAATAATAGAACCTACCTCACAGGGGTGTTGTGTGAATTACCATGCGCAGAGGGATTCGAATAAAAAGTGCTATATAGTACTTGCTCTTATCATTATCACTATTCATTTCCCTCTGCCTCCCTGGGCTCCCTTCACGAGGTCAAATGCACATTAAACATTCCACTGTTGCATGTACACCTTTCCTTCTTAGCACTTTCCATGGTCTGCACTTACACATTCATCCATGGGATCCTTTACTCATGTCTCTTCTCTTCTAGGCTGACTGTGTGCCGTGTGGGGAGGGCTGGTCCCAATCCTCCCCTAGCATCCCCAGATCCTAGTCCAGTGCTTGTTGCTTCAGAAGTGCTCAATGAGTGTTTTTTCCTTCTTCAGAGACACATATGTCTTAGTATTATGAAGCAAGAGACAAACGATATGATCTGAAAGCAAAGCCGTTTTGAGATGGATGTCACAGAGCAGGCAGGGGAGTGGTGGGCTCCTTCGTACGTTGCCTGACACAAGGGAGCTCAGCAGAGGAAGGATCTCTGTGGGTCAAATGTCCCTGCCCTCCCCCCTCCTGCTGCCACAGAGCATCAAGGACTGGAGGGGACTCTCAAGATCTTTGTAGGAATGTTCCGGGTGCACTGGGCTGAGCGACATCAGTTTCAGTTCTCCACAGATGAAATGAACTTGCCATGGCCTGGGGGGAGAAGGGGAGGGAGGAGGGCCCCGCCTCCATCCAGATCCAGTCCTGCCTATCTCACCATGACCGAGCACTCTGGAATCCAGCCTCCCCTGCCCTATTGTGCTCCAGCCTTCTTGGCCTTCTGACTGCCATGCTCAAGGGCCCTTGCACTTGCTGTTCCATCTGCCTTTGATGCTTTCCCCCACAGCTCCTCACAGGTGTGACCCCTTGTCATTCATTCATGTCCCAGTTCAAGTGAGACACCAGGAAGGCCTTCCCTGAAGTCTCAGCCCTCAACCCTCCAACCTTGAATCACTTTCTACCCACGACTTGGCTTTATTATTATCTTAAAAAATATTCTCTTTTTTTAAGTTGATTCACTTATTTTGAGGGGGTGGGGTGGAGCAGAGAGAGAAGGAGAGAATCCCAAGCAGGGTCTGTACTGTCAGCATGGAGCTGGACATGGGGCTCAATCTCACGAACTGTGAGATTATGACCTGAGCAGAAATCAAGAGTCGGACATTCAACCAACTAAGCGACGCAGGCACCCTTATTTTTTTTCATAAATGTTTGAAATTGCACATATGAAATTACTTCTTGTGTTTATTACCTATCTCCCCATGCAACGTGTAAGCATCATGAGGACAGGGACTTTGTCTTGTCATTGCTGACTTCCCACTGCCCAGAACAATCCTGGCACATGGAAGGGACCCAATATTTTTTGAGCTAAGTACCTGGATGAATGAAGAGACCTTACCCTCTAGAGCTGTTGCTGTCCAATATGGTAGCCACTAGCCACATGTGGCTAAACTGAAACTAAAATTAAAGTAGGGGTGCCTGGCTGGTTCAGTCAGTAGAGCACGCAACTCTTAATCTCAGGGCGTGAGTTCAAGCCCCATGTTGGGCATGGAGTCTACTTAAAATAATAAAAAAAATAATAAAAGTAAAGTAAAAATCCAGTTCCTCAGTCATATTAGCCATATTTCTAGTACTCCAAGGCCACATATGACTATGGCTGCCATATTGGACATTGTAGATAGAGAATTTCCATCACTGCAGAAAGTTCCATCGCACAATGCCGGTCTAGACCGTAACTTTTCTACTTTTACTCTTCACTCATGTCTTTTTCTCTGCCTGGAATGCTCTATCCCATCCTTAATAAAAATCCTACACATGTAGAACTTGGGAATGTTAAAACAAATAAACAAAGAAACCTTAAGATCAGTTCAACAGTTACACAGAATGTATCCTTAAGTATTTTTGATTCATGCCAAGGTTTAGCTACAAAGATGTTCAACGCAGCACTGTTTATAGCAGCCACTCCCAAACTCCGAAAACAAAACCAAAAAGCAGGCTTGGCCGGGCGGGGGGGGGGGGGGGGGGGGAGGATTAATCAAATTATGGTAGAGCCATCAAAAATAGATGACTGTATTGGGGCGTCTGGGTGGCTCAGTCAGTTAAGCATCTGACTTCGGTTCAGGTCATGATTTCACGGTTCGTGAATTCAAGCCCTGCATCAGGCTCTGTGCTGACAGCTCAGAGCCTGGAGCCTGCTTCAGATTCTGTGTCTCCCTCTCTGCCCCTCCCCTGCTCACACTCTGTCTCTCTCTCTGTCTCTCAAAAATAAACAAACATTAAAAATTTTTAAAAAAGAGGGGCACCTGGGTGGCTTAGTCGGTTAAGTGTCCGACTTTCGCTTGGGTCATGATCTCGCGGTTCGTGGGTTCGAGCCCCGCGTCGGGCTCTGTGCTGACTGCCAGTTCAGAGCCTGGAGCCTGTTTCAGTCTGTGACTCCCTCTCTCTCTGACCCTCCCCTGCTCACACTGTCTCTCTCTCTCTCTCTCCTAAAAATAAATAAAACATTAAAATTTTTTTTTAAAAAGAATATAATTAAGAATGTAATTATCAGTCAATGGGCACTTGTTACTGTATGATTTCATTTTTGTTAAAAAAAAAAAAAGTCCCTTGAAGTTGTAAAGACCAGATGAAACATTCTATATAAAAGTGACATGGGGGTTCCTGGATGGCTCAGTGAGAAGAGCATGAGATTTTGATCTTGGGGTTGTGAGTTAGAGCCCCACTTTGGGAACAGAGATTACTCTAAAAAAAGTGCTTGATGTGAAGCTAATATAACATTGTATTGCAATTATACTGCAATAATAATTTAAATAAGATAATGTTAAGACAGTAAACAAAGAATTGCTTGTCAGAGTAAATGCTGAACAAACAGTGGCCACTTTTATGCATAAAGAAAAGAATAAAGAGGGTATTTGCCAAAATATTAAGAGTGGCTGCCTCCAGGTTGAGAAACTGGGGTGAACTCACTTTCTTCTTTTTGTTTGTCATGCTTTTCCCAGTTTTCTCTAGTGAACATGTATTTCTTTCAAAATAAGGGATGGGGACAATAAAAGATATTTTTAAAAATTTTCAAGGCTCAACTCAAGTAATGGTTCTTCATGAACCCTTGCTTCCCTGAGTCCTGGGTCATGGCCACCGTCCTCACAGCACAGGGCTTCTCCAGGGTCCCTCATCTGGAAGAGGCAGGCCCATGAGTGAATAGACAGGAGAGATGAAGCCTGCACCCCCATTACCAGCTGCCCCTGAGAAGCTTGCCTCATATTTACTAATGAGCGGCGGCCAGCCCTGGGCAGGAACAAGCCATTGGCCAGACTGACATTGTGCAAGGAGCCTAGAGGAGATGATGATCACCTGCCTATCCTTTTTTTCAGCAAGTCGGTAGCTGGGGACCCTGCACACTGTTTGGGGGTTCCTGGGTGTCCGTGGAAAAACAGGTGGAGTGAGAGAGCTGGCAGCCGGTGTGTTTTGGGAGACTTCAGAGGTGATGAGGAAGGATCCCTGCTCTTTTCCTTGGTTGGGGGATGGAAGCGAGGCAATTTGGTTTGCGCTTGGTGACACCCAGAAGGATTCTGAGGGCCAGGAAGCCCCGCCCCTCTATTCCCACTAACTTAGTGACTAAGAGTGTGGGTTTTGGCATCCGACGTCCAGGTTTGCATCCTGCTCCCTACGCACTATGAGTTACTTAACCTTTCTGCGCCTCTATTTTCTTATCTGTAAAATAGGGATATTGATCATAGCAACTCGGAAAAAGGCTGAAATTCGCAGACAAACTCTGTTACAGTTCCTCTTTTTAGCCAAGACGCAAGACTGGCCAGGGAAGGTTCTGGCACTCACAGCGGAACCGCGGAGGCGCCCCTTTAATTCCCCGCAAAAAACCGCAGCCCGAAAGGCGCGCTTCCGGAGCGAGTCCCTCTGCGTCCCCTGCAGGGACAGGGATGCCCCGGCTTCCTGCCCAGTCCCCGCACGCTGCGCCCCGCCAGCCCTAGTCCGTGGGGCGCTCGGGGTCCAGCGAGCGGAAGGGGCTGGGCCGGCCGGAGGAGCGCAAGGCAGGGGTCGGCGGGTTGCGCTTCGCGAAGGCTCCGAAGTACTCGGCGGCGAAGGTGACCACGTCGGCCGGCTGGCGCAGGAGCAGGAAGAGCAGGAAGTCCGAGACGAGCGCCGGGGCCTCGGGGTGCCGCCGCAGGTAGCTGGCGTGGCTGAGACGCAGCTCCTCCTGGCGGGGGCCGAGCGTGAGCGCGCCCCGGGACCCGGCGCCGCGGGAGCCCGCCCCTCCCTTCGCTCCCTCGGGGTGTGCATTTCCTGAAGGCGCCGAGGGAGATCAGTAATGGTGTGGGGATTATGCCCAAGGGGGGAATGGGGACCCCGGGCCGGCCGCAGCCTCTCTCACCTTCCGGTCAACGAATCTCGAGTAGAGCTCCATATCGTCCTCCCACACCAGGGGCTGCTTCTCAAATACCGGGCGGGGCTCGATCTCATCTGGGTGGGGAGAGAGGGAGGCTGCACCCCACCTCCACACCCAGAACCTTCCCCACATGCAGCGGGATGCCCAAGAACACCCACATGGCAGGCTCGGGTGGGGGGGGGGAACCCCAGGGTTCTGCTCACCCGGCCAGAGCTGCCAGAAGGAGTTCCCTGCAAAATGATCCTCCCCTAATTACCTTGGGCTCAGGGGCTGGAGGGCAAAACTTCTCTGATTTCAGGTTCTGATCCCACACTCGGTCCAGCCCCTGCACCCAGGAAGGTCCCCGGTGTTCCCACCTCTCCTTCACTCCCCCACCAGCCAGAGGCTTCACTCACCCTTTTCCCTCAAGATAGGCATTTTGGTGATCATGCAGCACCCCGGGGAGCCCACCTGGATTCTCTTGGCCAGATGCCTGGAGTACAACACAGGCGTGAGAGTGGGTGTCTTCCCAGACCTGCCCGCTCCCTTGAGGGCCATCCCGGGGGCCTCCCTTCGTTGCCCCCCCAACACCTCTGCTTGAGTTCTAGGGTTGCGTTCATTTCTAGATCCCCAGGTAATGGCCCCTGCCTTTCCTGCTCATGCCCTTTTTGTCGTGTCCTGGTGTGCCTGGTCTGGCATGAGATCTCCAGCGCTAAAAGGGATGAGCCTCGAGCTATGTGACCCTCAAAATAGAAACAACTCACTAACTTATCAAATAAGGAACCGACAATGTTCTGATGACTTTTTTCCCAGCGAAATGGACGATGACATCAATACCTCTTTGGAAATTTCAAGAAACAAATTCTGTCCCCCTGCCCCAATTTTCTTGTGATTTGGTGCCTGTGCCATGCTGGCGACAGCTTGGCAGTGCGTGCGGCAGGATGCTTTCCCCAGCACATCAGGAGTCTATCGGGTGTCACGTTCAGACCTTGGTGTTCTCCAGTAGCACACCCACCACCACCCGCGGCAGCCGCTTTAGCTATTATGCCTTAGGCCTCATGGGGTCAGCATTGACCTCCTCAGCCATTCAGAGCTCTTTGGTGAGGGGCTGGGAGGCACCGCCCGCGTTGAAGAATGAGTAGATAAAGGGAGCGGGAATGATGGGGATAAAGCAAGGGGGCATTCTTCCAGGTGGTGTCCCCAGAGAGCGCAGTCTCCCTTTGCCCCATGCCCGGGCCCCAAGATCGAGCGCACATGCTTGTGCTCAACACTGCCCCCTTGGCGCCACTGTCAGTAGCTCACCCATCAGAGAGCAGGTAGAACTGGCAGGAACTGGGGATGCCTTCGTCGGAGTGGACCGTCTGCTCCACGATGAACACATCCACTTGCTGGCGGCCCACCTGGATCGTCTGGGTGCCCAGGGCTTGCTGGCAGCAGCCGACATGGAGGGAGGTGAGGTGGATGCCCAACAGGGTCTCCCCTGTCTCACCCTGGCCCTCTCCTCCACCTTGCTGCCTCATTCCTTGCTCGTCAGTGATAAGCACCCCTTGACTGTCCAGACCCTCAGGCACCAGAGGATTTGAGATGCACCCCCACGTTACGTGGGGGTCTCCCCCTGGAGGGCCAGTTCCTCACTGCTTGTGCCCCAACCCTCCCTGCATCATCTGGATGACCAAGGGCTTCTAGTTGGCAGATTCATTACGGGGATGAGGCTCAACCAATTAGGTGTCAGTGCGTGGGGTGGGGGGCGATGGGGCTGGGCTATCGAATGGGGCAGTTATCAGATCGAGATCTGTGGCTCCGGGGGACCCACGCTGCAGCAGGCAGGTATCCCTGTTGTAGTTAAAACTTAAGTTCCTCTACTGGCTGCGGCCATGGGAGAAAAGTGCTAACATAAAACATGTGTTTCAAAGAAGATAGGGGAAAGTGAGGTGTGCCTGTTTGTGTCAAGAACATTGCTGTTTGTGGTTTGTGATAGAAAAGACTAGAATGTCATTTACAAGGACTAGAATGTCATTTGTTGGTCAAATCAGCCTCCAAAATGTGTGTTTATTTTTTTATCTTTTAAAACTGTTTTACTTATTTTGAGAAAGTGAGAGAGGGAGAGAGAGAGAGAGGGAGAGAGAGAGAGAGAGAGAGGGAGAGAGAGAGAGAGAGAGAGAGAGAGACTCTCAAAGCAGGCTCTGCACTGTCAGAACAGAGCCCAACTCGGGGCTTGATCCCACAAACCATGAGATCATGACCTGAGATGAAATCAAGAGCCAGACCCTTAACCCACTGAGTCACCCAGGTGCCCCCCCAAATATGTGTTTAGAGGCACAGCTTTAAAATCTCCGATTGCAGGAAGTCCTAGGTATGTTGATTTGTTTTAGCCACAATAAAGGAAAAAAACAGCCTTCCAGTCTGAAACATTGTATGAAAGGGCATTTAAGTGTAGTTGGAAATGGTGCATTTCCTAATGTTAAAAAATATGTCTTTAGCTTAAGTGTCCATCAACGGACGAACGGATCAAGAAGATGTGGTTCATCTATACAAAGGAATACTACATGGCAATGAGAAACAATGAAATCTGGCCATGTGTAGCAACATGGATGGACCTTGAGTGTGTTATGCTGAGCGAAATAAGTCAGGCAGAGAAGGTCAAATATCATATGTTTGCACATATAGGAGGATTAGGAGGAACTTAACTGAGGAACAAGGGGGAGAAGAAGGGGGGAAATGGTGGGGGAAAGGGAGAGAGGCAAACCATGAGAGACTTTTGAATGCTGACAAAAACTGAGAACTGATAGATATAGGGGGGAGGGGGCATGGGCATGGAGGAGGGCACTTGTGGGGATGAGCACTGGGTGTTATGTGGAAACCAATTTGACAATAAACTATTTGTAAAAAAAAATATATGTCTTTAAAAGCATCCCTCCACCATCTTTCTTTTTTTGGGGTGACTTTGGTGCGAAAGCATTGCTTCTCTCAACTGCTCCCAGCTTTGGTCTCTCTTATTTACTCCACCTGTGTCAAAGGTGACCTTCTGGTGAATGCGGGCTTGCTTTCTCCTGCCCCGGAAGTCCCACCTTCATGGCCCCAGCCCACTCCCTCTTTCACCCCGAAGCTGGCTTTTCCTCCCACCTCAGCGATCAATGCGCCCCTTCCGGTTTTCCCCAGACTGAGTCCCCCACCCAGGGAGACTCCTTACGTAGGTGGAATAGCAGAGTTTGCCCTCTGTGTCCAAGGCCAGGAAACGGGCGTTGCTGGGCACCAGCTGCCGCCAGGCCATCACCCTCAGCAGCACCAGGTTGGCGGCCTCGGAGACAAAGCCTTCAGTTGAGCTCCAGGGGAAAAAAGCCCTTTTGGTCTTCACTTCCTGTTCAGGAAAAATCTGGGTCAGGTACATTGATCTGGGAAGGGGTGAGGAGGATGGGACAGCCAGGTGTTGGGCATATGGTCCTTGCTGAGTCCCCATGCCAGGCTCCTGGCCCGACACAATCTGGCCCCTTCCGGCTCCCACCTGTCTCTCGCCCTTACCTCACCCTCCTTGACACTTCTGGTCATGGCCAGCTGGTCATCCTGCTTCACCAGACTCATCTTCCTCTCCATGGGGAGGATGCGGAACTAAGGGCCAGAGCACAGAGCGGGGAATCAGGAGCTCACCTGCTTGTACAGAACAGGACCCCCCAGAGGCCACCTTGCCTATTCTCCTTTACAAACGAGAAGACTGAGGGACATTTGGATAGAAAAATCTTCTGTATATAGTAAAGTTCATGAGCAGAAGTCAGGGGCGCCTGGGTGGCTCAGTTGGTTAAGCGTCCGACTTCAGTTCAGGTTGTGATCTCGTGGTTTGTGGGTTTAAGCCCCGTGTGCAGCTCTGTGCTGACAGCTCAGAGCCTGGAGCCTGCTTTGGATTCTGTGTCTCCCTCTCTCTCTGTCCCTCCCTCATTTGTGTTTTCTCTAAGATAAGTAAATAAAGATTTTTTAAAAATTTAACAAAAAGGAACAGAAGGCATATTATGGTGTAACATAAAGTTCAAAAGTACGTGCACTTCAGAATACAGGTTTCAAAAGATGGGAATAGTTTCTGTGGGAAACAAGTGGTTTCCAATGTGTAATATGGTTCATGTGCCAGAAGTCAGTGAGGTGGCTGGGGCAGGATGTGGGAGGCACAGAGCAGGGGAATTTGGAGGCGAGGTGGTGACAGGCCGTTGGGAAAGGCCAGGCTCTGGGAAAGGGCAACCCGCGTGGCCCTCCCGAAAATGCTGGGCTCCCAGGCTTTGTCTGTTAGGAGAAGGTCATGAGAAGCAACCTGATGCCCTCAATGGATTGGTTTCCAAGTTGTGTGTGGTGGGGATTGCAGGCTAGCTGGGGGAGAGTCGGGGTAACATTCCATTGAGCCCCCCCCCGTTCTTCCCTCCCTCTCTCCCAGGGTCTCTATTCTGACACCCTGGTTTGGAGCCAAAGCTGGGGGCCCCTGGAGGTACCTTGATAAACTCTTGGGTATGTTGTTCCATGATATGCAGGTCCCACGAGAGATAGCCTGGGGTAGGAGGAGAACACTGCCATCACCGGGGGCAGGACTGGCAATTGCAGGGAGGCAGGGTGGTGGCCCAGTGTGACCACGGGGAAATTAAGGGTGCTCCTGTCTTAAGTCTGGAGCTGTGATGAACCTCCCTGTCACCCCCACCTCCCACACACCCTCTTTGCCTCATTCTGCTCCCAAGGTGAGGTGGAGGGTTGGTCCCAGGTAAAGGTCCTAGGAATGGGGGGGAGGAAGGATGGAGGTGAAGTGCATCAGGCAGCAAGAACTCTACCCAGGAGGGAGTTTCCGCAGAGCATTTTGTCCATGAAGCCCCGGCTAAAGGCGTGCACGAGGAGGCAGTGCGACATAACACCAAATTCGTCCTTGTGTTTCCCTCTCTGCACCTCAATGGTCAGCTCTCCTTGAGGCTCCCCCTTGTCCGAGACCATGGCCAGGGTCTCAGGGAACAGCAGCATCTGCAGCTCCTCCTGGTCTGGGGGTGAGGGTCCCATGGGGACAGATAAAGCCCCAGCCCCCCAGTCCCCGACCCTCTGACCCTCCAGCCACCCTCTCCTCATCCCACGTGTCTCAGGCAGCTCCTGACTCCTGCCATTGGCGTCTACAACTGCCAGCAGATGAAGACCCCTCCCCCCATCCAGTCCCCATGTCCTTGGTGTCTTTCTTATCGACAAATAGGTCTCCCCCCCTTTCTGAGTCGCAGGCCAATCAAGGCTGAGAGCGCCAGGGCCAGGTCTGTGTCTTCTCTCTTCCCTCCTCTCCACATCCGTGCCCCCCCACCATGTCCCCCTCCCCCCCTCCTCCCCCACACTGTCCAGACTCACCGAGGTTGCTGAGGAACTGGATGGCTTCGGCATTGGCCTCTGGGGGTGGCAGACTCTCATGGGCTGATGGTTGGTGGTCCTTGGCTCTGGGGCCTAGGGATGCAGGAAAGGCTGAGATGGCATCCTTGGGGAGAAGGACAGGCGGGGGCCAGGGGTCCCCAAAGCAGAATCCTCCAAGCCCACCCCAAGGAGGATTGTGAGGGGGAAGATGCCCCGTCAACTTCTAATCCTGCCAGCCCTCTTCCCACCTGTGGATTGATGTTTAGAGGACATGGGCTTTCTGCTAGCCGATCTGTGTCCACCTGTCTCCATGGCAACCAGAAGCCAGCTACCGCCTCTTAAAGGGCCATCAACACACCTCACTAAACAACCAGACCTTGGAGGCAATGGTAGGAACTGTGGGGTCTGGGGCTCAGGCCACGTCTGAAGTATTGTCCTGCAGAGGGAGCATTTGACATGGCAGGGGGATGACATGGGTCATGAGAAGGACCTTAGGGAGCCCTGGCTGGCTCAGTCGGAAGAGCATGCAACCCTTGATCTCCGGGTCGTGAGTTTGAGCCCCACGTTTGGTGTAGAGAGTACTAAAAAAAAAAAAAAAAAAGTAAATCTAAAAAAATAAAAGAAGAATAACCTTAGAAGTTGTGGCCCTGAGTCAGACACGGCCTCACGTGTATGGAAGTCACTTTAGATGCCACGTGAATAGTGCTACATGTAAGAGTGGTGGTGACAAAACTGATGGTGACGGCAAACCCTTAAACCACACTGTGGCAGGCCAGGCACTGCTCTAGAGGCTACACATAAGTGAACCCATAGAATATTCAGGCTAACCCTGCGGGCAGACACTTTCCCCCTGCACTTTATGGCTAAGAAAACCGAGACACCAAGAGTTAAATGTCTTCCAAGTTCACACGACCAATACAGCAGACCCTTGAGCAGCCCGGGTTTGAACTGCCTGGGCCACTTATATGTGGATATTTTTCAAGAAGTAAAGTACAGTCCTGTAAACGCATTTTCTCTTCCTTATGGTTTCGTAATAACATTTTCTCTAGCTTACTTTATTGGAAGGGTACTGTATATAATACATATAACATTGTGTTATATGTATTAACTGTGTTAATAAAACATGTGTTAACTGTGTTATCTGTAAGGCTCAGGTCAATAGTAGGCTATGGTAATCAAATGCTTTGAGAATCAAAAGTGATACCTCGATTTTCTTTTTTTCTTTAAACACAATGTTAAGGTGTTTTTGTTTTTCATTTAGCTTTATTTATTTATTTCGAGAGAGAGAGCACGAGTGGGGAGGAAGAGCAGAGAGAGAGAGGTAGAGAGAGAGAATCCCAAGCACGCTCCATATGGTCAGTGCAGGGCCTGACTTGGGGCTCAAACTCATGAAGCGGTGAGATCATGACCTAAGCTGGAATCAAGTGTCAGACATTTAACCGACTGAGCCACCCAGGCACCCTGAGAGAGAGACAAAATGTTTTTTTTAATTTTTAAAGTTGATTTATTTATTTTGAGAGAGGAGGTGCAAGTGGGGGAGGGGCAGAGAGAAGGAGACAGAATCCCAAGCAGGCTCTGCGTCCTCAGCACAGAGCCTGAGGCGGCACTCTAACCCATGAACCGAGAGATCATTACCTGAGCCGAGATCAAGAGATGGATTCTTAACCAACTGCTCCACCCAGGCACCCAGGAAAGAGAAAGAGAGAGAGAATCTTAAACAGACTGCATGCTCAGTGAAGACCCCGACGTGGGGCTCGGTTCTATGCTCCTGGGATCATGATTTGAGCCAAAATCAATAGTCAGGCACTCAACCAACTGATCCGCCCAAATGCCCCTTACACAGTGTTAAGTTTTATTTTTTAAAAGTTTATTTATTTATTTTTAGAGACAGTGCAAGAGTGGGGGAGAAGGGCAGAGGGTGAAAGAGAGAATCTTAAGCAGGCTCCACGTTCAGCATGGAGTCCAATGTGGGGCTTGATCCAATGACCCTGGGATCATGACCTGAGCTGGAATCAAGAGTCTGATGCTCAAATGAGTGATTCAGGTGCCCCATCTTCAGGAAGATTTAGAATTGTGTGTAGAACTGCTTGAGAAAATCGAACTAACAATATTAATTTGTGTGTATTATATTGTGCATCTTTAGAATTTCAAGTTCTTTAAAATAATTTGGCTTGGAAGGGTGCTTAAAAGAGGTCTCGAGAGTCTAATTTAAATCAGGCAGTTGAATGGCAACTGACTGGCTTGGTAGGTGGAGTGAACGACTCTTGATCTTAAGGTTGTAGGTTTGAATCCCACGTTGGGTAGAGAGATTTCTTAGAAACAAATTAACAAAACATCTTAAAATAAATAAGTTGGGCAGTTGAATAGTTGATTTAGACTGAACATTGAAGGTAAATTTTTTTTAATGTTTTATTTATTTCTGAGAGAGAGAGAGAGAGAGAGAGAGAGAGAGCGTGAGCAGGGGAGGATCAGAGAGAGAGGGAGATACAGAATCTGAAGACAGGCTCCAGGCTCTGAGCTAGCTGTCAGCACAGAGCCTGACACAGGGCTCAAACCCATGAACCGTGAGATCATGACCTGAGCCAAAGTCGGACGCTTTACTGACTGAGCCACCCAGGTGCCCCTGAAGATAAATTCTTACTGGGATTGTAAGCACAACCAAAACATTTTTTTAAAAACCTTAAAATTTACCGGGTTTCTGTCTTTACTTTTATTAGACTGCAATTAAAGTACTTGGGGTGGGGGCTGGTTTCTCTTTTTTTAAATAGAATTGAATTCTTTCTATTTTACTTTACTTTTTTCCAGCTTTATGAGATATAATTTGACAAGTATGATCATTTGCTTTTATTTTTTTTTATTTTTTATTTTTATTTTTTTTAATGTTTTATTTATTTCTAGGAGAGAGAGAGAGAGAGACAGCGTGAGCAGGGGAGGGTCAGAGAGAGAGGGAGTCACAGACTGAAACAGGCTCCAGGCTCTGAGCTGGCAGTCAGCACAGAGCCCGACGCGGGGCTCGAACCCACGAACCGCGAGATCATGACCTAAGCGAAAGTCGGACGCTTAACCGACTAAGCCACCCAGGCGCCACAATCATTTGCTTTTAAAAAGGAAATAGAATATCTAGAATGAATAAATACAACATAAACTGCTTAAAGCAGTTTTAATTTTGAAAAGAGGACCAATTGTTTTAGTTTTTAAAATGTTTTTTGATTTATTTTTGAGAGACAGAGAGAGACAGAATGCAAGAAGGGGAGGAGTAGAGAGAGGGGGAGACACAGAATCTGAAACAGGCTCCAGGCTCTGAGCTGTCAGCACAGAGACCAATGCAGGGCTTGAATCCACGACCCATGAGATCATGATCTAAGTCGAAGCCAGGCACTCAACCGACTGAGGCTCCCAGGCATGAAAAGAGGACCAAGTATTAATTAAAGCCCCCTTAAAAGTTATTATTAACATTTACTGGATTTATGATTAAAATATGATTGATAAGTAACTTAAAAGTTTAAAAATGCTTCTTTTAAATTTTGCAATTTAAGAAATTGAGTATTCTTTTTAATTTTATTTATTATTATTATTTTTTAAGTAAGCTCCATGCCCAATGTGGGGCTTGAACTCATGGCCCCGAGATCAAGAGTTGCATGCTCTGGGTGCCTGGGTGGCTCTGTCAGTTAAGCAGCTCTCTCTGTCTCTCTCTCAATAATAAATAAATAAACTTAAAAAAAAAAAGACTTGCATGCTCTACCAACTGAGCTAGCCAGGCACCTCTCATTTTATTTTTTAAATTTTATTTTGAGTGAATTCTGAATAAGCGTTTCGCTGCACATGGAAGACTGCCAGGGCATCAAGAAAACTCACAACTGCTTTAGGAAATAGTTTCTTAGTTCCTTAAAAAGTTAAATGTGGAGTTTCTGTATGACTTAGCAATTGCACTCCTAGGTCTATACCCAAGAGAACTGAAAACATCTGTCTGCACAAAAACCAGATGTTCATAGCACCATGATTCATCATAGGCAAAATGTGGAAAAAAGTCAACTGTCCGTCAACTGACAAATGGATAAACAAAACGTGGTGTATATATACACAATGCAGTATTACTCAGCCATTAAGAGTAAAGTTGTGACACGTGCTGCACCATAAGCCTTGAGAACATGGCAAGTGAGAGGAGCCAATCACGAGACCACATATTGTCTGATCCTATTGATGTGAAATGTCCAGAAGAGGCAACTCTGTGGAGACAGAAAGTAGATCAGTAGTTGCCTCGTGTGGATGCATGGAGGCACCGATAAGCACCCACAGTTTCTTTGGGGGCTGAATGAAAATGCTCTAAAATTAGCTTGGGATGGTCACAAAACAGTGCACATACTAAAAGCACTGAGTTGTACTCTTTGAAAGGACGAATTTTGTGGTATGTAAATTGTATCTCAGTAAAGTTGTTAATAAAAAAAGATTTAAATAAAATCTAAAAAAAAGAAAACCCTATTGCTTCCATATGTAAATTGCAAGAAGTTTGATTATTCGGACAAAGTTAGAAGAAAAAGAAGCAAATTATGGTCAAGATGCTCTTTGAGGGGTGTCCACATAGTTCCCCTCCTTATGGTGCTCCACCTCCCCGAACTCCTGACCTGAGGGAAGATTTGCTTCTAGAACCCTCTACCCTTTGGAGTTTTCCCCATACCCCTTCACCTCTCCTTGGTCAGGCCCCTCTAGCTGCACAGGACTCCCACCTGCCTGTCCCCAAAGGCGCCGCTCCTGGGAGCCCAGGTTCTTTCTCACCCCCCCCCCCCAATCCCTCCCCATTGGTGCTGGCCATTTCCTGCCAGCTGCTAGGAGAGAAACAAATTTGACAAAGTGGTTCACAGAAGGATGGGCATTCAGTTTGTTAATCTAATTTTTTTGAGAGAGAGAGGATGCAAGTGAGTGAGGGGCAGAGAGAGAATCTCACCCACAAAAGGGGGAGGGGGAGAGAGAGAGAGGGAGAGAGAGGTGAGGCTTACCCGAAGAGGGGCCTGTGTTCACCAGAAGTGGGGCTCAAGCTCACAAAGTATATCATGACCTGAGGCAAAGTCTTAATGATTGAGCCACCCAGGTGCCCTGTTAATCTAATTTTTATCCCTTGGGAGGAGATCTGCTACAGGCCCTCGTTACCATGCCCCCTAGTGCCTGCTAGGCCAGTGGAAGGCCATACGGCATCAGGTGGACATGCTGGCTGTGCAGCCATGTTGAGCAGCTGGCTTCTCTGAACTTGTGACGGGGCCAGCCTGAGTCCTCCAGCCACTGGGATCAGCATCTACCAAATCTGCCTCTA